GAGGGGGGGGGTAAGGGGGGGGAAGGGGTGGGGTGGGGGCAGGGTGGGGGGGTCCCCACACGGGATGTGACCCCCAAGACGGGGTTATCAACCTCCCGCTCCCACCGAGCCCCAAGACGGTAGTAAAGCATCAAACCCGGCTGAAGGCAGTGCACAAATGAGCCTGCTTTGGCTAACGAACTGTGTCATGGCTTCCGATCCCAGGAGCCCGCGCCTTGGCCCGGGGAAGGGGGCTGCCCTCCCCTCCTGGGTGCCCCCCGCCCCGTGCCAGCCCAGCACAGCCGGGGGGCTCGGGGAGGGCGGCGGGGATGAGGCAGGGCATGGGGGGGGCTCTGCGGCCCCGCTCGGTCGGCGCTGACGGCTCGGAGAGGTTTTATTGAGCTGAAAGGGGAGGGGAGGTGGGGGTCCCTCTTGCACCTGCAGCCTGGCCCCCTGAAATGGCGGGGGGGGAGGCCGGGGAGGGGCAGGGGGGCTCCCAGGGACCGGGGCTGGAAGCACTCGCAGAAGTCCTGCCCAGTGGTGGGGATGGGGATGGGGGGGGGGACATTGCTTCTGGCACCCTTCTGGGCCGGGGGTCCTGCGCGGCTGCGTGCCCCCCTCGCCCCAGCGCCAGGGAGAGGCGAAAGCAGGGGGGCCGGGGGGCTCCGTCCCCCTCCTACCGCAGGGTCCCCGCGAGCCGGACCGCTGTCCCGCCGATCCCTCGGCTCCTCGCCGGGAGCCCCGCGGAGGGGTGACGGGGGCTGGGAAGGGGGACCCCCGGCCCCTCAGTCCTGGGGTGCTCAGGCTTTCAGCTGGTGCCACTGTGCCACCGCCTGCCGGGGACGGGCGATCATGTCCTTCCAGTGCTTCACCTCCCCGGGGCCGCTCTTCCAGGACAGGTAGATCTGCAGGAACAGGCAGCCCTTGGACCCACGGCTCCGCTCCCGGCCCCTCCAGCCCCATCCCACTGCCCAGTCCTGCCGCCTTCGCCCCCCCGACCTCCTCCCTCCCTGCTCCCCCCGGGCACGTGCCGCCAGCCGTGGGCACCAGCCCCGGGCTCCGCGCAGTGCTGGGCTATTTTTATCCATTGATTTTCCATACGGCGACGCGGAAAACCGCCCGTGCCAACCCTCCTCGCAGCTGACAGCTCCGGGAGCCCGTGCCGCTGCTCCAGCTAAGTGGATCGCAGCGCCGGAGCGGGGCTCGCTGCTAATTATGCAATCAAAAGTGATTAGCAGGCTGCTGGCCACGGCAGGGCGGCCAGGGCGTGAAGGGCATGCTCGTCTCCTCCGGCTCCGCCGCCGGCAGCTCCGCTTTGCTCTCGTGCCGCAACGTTCCCGGCAGCTTTAATGCAAAGTGGAGACATCATGGGCACTGTCTGTCCGTCTGTCCATCCGGCCCGCTGGCTGGCATTGGGCTTTGGGCGCAACCGTGCCCATGCCACTGGTGATGTCCCCTCTGGGCTGTGCCCACGCCGGGGATGCCGGCATCTCTGCCCCTCTCCGGCAGCCCACAGTGCCGAGCCGCTGCGGCCGCCCCCTCCCAGGTTTATCCCAATCTATGTGTTTGCTTGATCACAGCGCTGCGTTTGGGGATCATTGATTCTCTGCGGTGAGCAGTAATAACAGAGATTACTGCGCTCGTTTGTCATCATTACCCTAACGAGCGGAGAGCTGGATGGTTTTAAAATATATCAAATCGAGAAGGGATGAATTCCTCCGTTCCTGTCATTGGGAGGCGGTGGGTAATCCCAGTGCGGGGACAGGGGCTGTGGTCTGTCCAGTGGCAGACACGGACCCCAGGGACCCCCGGTTGAGTTCCTGCTCTCCCACAGCCGGGGATGGTGCTGCCGCGGCGCGGTGGGGGAGCTCCGGCTCTACCTGCTGCCGCGGCACAGGGGAGCCATCAGGGACTTCGATTTTTGCCTTGCTATAAATAGACTTTTGGCAGGTTGAAGCTCACCCCGGTGCAGGCTGTGCCGCAGCATGGCGTGGTGGAAGGCGCAGGGCATCGCCACACTGGATTGGGGCCACTGCATCGTCTCCCGGCTTGTGCGGGGTCGGAGATGGCTGGGGAAAGCCAGCACGAAGGGTCCCCGCCACGCTCAACCTTCCCCTCCAGCTTGAGATGGCACCAGTAGCCATCAGGCAGGGACCTGGCTGTCCCCCGGCTGCCACCCCTTGGCAGGACACGTTGCTGGGGTCCCCCCCAGCCGCGGGACCCACCTTGCCGATGACGTCGTTGCGGCTCAGCCTGTCCTTGTCCATGACGGTGATGACGATGGTCGTCTCGCGCAACCGCTCCGTAGGGATGTCGAAGGCGAAGGACTCGTTGAAGACGGGGTTCAGGCACCGCTTCATGACCACTGTCTTCTTCTTCTCCACCCGCTTGTCCTTGTACATCAGCCACACCTTCACATAGGGGTCTGGGGGGAGAGGAGTTGCTCTCAGCCCTGGCTGGGCGTCGGGCAGCGATGCCCAGCATGGCAGGAGCCAGAGCTCGTACCTGACGTGCCCCCGATGTCCATGGCTTTGAGGTTACGCGCTTTGATGATGTTCACCACGATGGAGTTGGCGGAGGGGTTGTAGCACAGCGACAGCAGCAGCTCCCCACGGCTTCCCTGCGGGACCCAGGGAGGTCGTTAGGTGGGCACCCCAAAAAACACCCGCCCCTTGCTGTGGCACCCAGCCCAAGCCCTGACGGGACACCCAAAGCCCCCATGTCCCACCACGGGAGCGGGGTGCTGGGCTGGGATCCCCCCAGAGCTGTCCCAAGGGTGGACTTTGGGGCTGCATGGAAAATCAGGGCGGGAGGAAACAGGGCCACCCCCAGTGGGACATTTTCTGGTCTTGCTGGAGGCAAGAAAAAAAAGAAAACTTTCATTCTAGGTCTACCCGCAATGGCTTGTTTTGACCCAAAATGAGACACTGGCTTTGGGCTACTTAGTGCCTTAATATAAAGATTCGGGAAGAGAAACCTCTCCATCGGGTGTCAAACCTTCTCGCAAAGCAGAAAATATCCCCGTTGGGGTAGCAAGAGGGTGGTGGTCCCATCGGGACGCCACAGGGACAGGGGGCAGCCTGCCCCCGAGGACTGTCCCCAGGGGGTGGGAGGGGGAGCGGGGCCTTACGCTGCCATCACTGCACGGCTTCAGGTCCTTCCAGAAGGTCTGCATCTGGGTGAGGTCCACCTTGTTGAGAGGGATGGACACCTCCCCGATGGGGTCGTTGCGGCTGAAGCGGTCATAGTCCAGGACCTGGAGGTACAGCACCCGCTGCACCACTTTCTCGTAGGGGAACCCTGTGCCAGAGACGGAGGGGATGAGGAACCGTCACGGCCATGCCGAGCAGCGCCTGGTGCCGGCGCCGGTGCCGGCGCTGCCCTGCCCTGCCCGCGCTGATGGGGAGATGTCGGTAGCAAGGCAGTGGATGGGGAGCAGACCGTGGCATGAGTGGCTGGTGGCAGATTAATTCCCATGTGTGCACCCACCCATGGGTGCCTGCTGGGGTGGGAAGGAGCCTCCCCCCGTGTCCCCTTCATGGGATGTGGAGCAAACAACCTCCAACCTGGCCTTGACGGCTTGGCCAACCCGTCTCATCACCGATGGCCACCACGCTGGCAGCTCAAGCTGAGCTGGTCCAGCCCAGGAGGGAGGATAGAGGGTCCCACGACCGCTCCGCTCCCAGCCCAGTCCACTCCAGCCCATCCCAGTCCCTACCTTCGAAGAGGAAGGTCTCATTCCAGTGCGGGTTGAGGTTCTTCCGCTTCACCTTGGTCTCCAACTTGTGCTTCTTGTCGGGGAGCAGGTAGATCTTGACAAAGGGGTCGCTGGTGCCACTGAAGTCCTTGGCCGGCAGCTCCTGCGCCTTCATGATCTTGACGGTCAGAGTGGACTCCTGGAAGTTGTAGCCGACGCTGAACTGGATGCGACCCAGGTTCTCCCGGCTGATGCCATCGTGGCCCTCGTCGTCCTCGGAGCCTGGGGAGAGCTGGGGGGAGAAGGGTGGTGAGCGCGGCACTGGGGAGCCAGTGGGGGACCACGAGCGGGGTCTGCACACCCCCATCCCCCCCCGTTTCAGCACCCGAACTCTGTTCACGCCACCACCCGACCGCCAGCCCCGCGAGCTGTCAGAGGGCATCAGCCTCTCCCCAGCTCCCCGCCATCGCCTCAGACGACTCCTGGCTCCGCGCCATGCATCCCGGGGACGAGAAGCGCCAATTAGCCAAATTCCTCCTGACAGCCCGTCCCTCACATCTCCGGCACCGCTCCCTCACGCCGGCCCTGGGGGGACGGCCGCATCGCCTCGGCTGAGCCGGAGCTGTGCCAGCTGCGGCGCCCGGCTGTGACGGGGACTTGGCAGAGCTGGCTGCGATGTGCCGGAGTGCTTGTGGCACAGGGCGGGCGTGGGGAAGAGCCGGGGGACGGGCAGGAGGAGACGCCGGGGCAGTGCCCAGGGTGGGATGCCATCCCCAGGGAGCTCATCCCCAGTGCACCCCATCCACCCACCATGAGCATCTCACTGGTCAGGGAGTTGACCAGGTCGGAGACGGAGGAGCGCGGCTCCGTCTTGCGGTCGGACTCATCGTGCGGTGGCTGCCCGGGCACTGGCGCCGTGTTCACCGCCTTGCCACCGGCCGGCAACCTGGGGAAAGAGAGGCAGTGCCTTTTAGAGGAGAGGGGCCGAGAGCCAAGGGTGAGACAGCGAGGGGCTCCCCGGGCACCCTCTCCCAGCGGATGCTGCGCCTGGGCTGTGCCGACGGAGGCTGCCGGCTGGGACGCAGGCAGAACCGGGCTGCGGGGATGCCCGGGGCTGTCCTGCCGGCGTCTGCGTGCCACCCGCTGCAGCCCACCAGCCTCCCCGCACAGAGGGACCCCGGCCGGTGTGGGCAACTGGTTCTGCCTACGCCGCCACCAGGTAAGGCCGGGTGCCAGCCGGTGCCCTGGGACCCGCGCCATGGCACCTCAGAGCACGGCAGCAGGTCCCACGTCCCCCCGGCCACGTCCCAACCCCGGCGGCCGCAGAGCCCACGGCGATTCCGGGGACAGACACCCGGCCCCGCGGCTACCCGGTTCCCACCAGCACCTACGGCTTTGGCTGCGCCTCACCCACGCGCAGCCCCTTTCCACCCCGGCACAGGGCCGGGTGCTTAGCTGACCCATGGGTGCTTTGTGCTGCGGCGTGGGCTCGGTGCCCGGTGCTAACTGCCACCCTTTCCTTCTGCCATCGAGACCCCCCCACTCCCGGTGCCCCGCAGCCGAAACCGCTGCCCCGGCTGTCCCCGCACACCCTGGCTGGAGAAGCTGGGTCCGGAGGGGCCGTGCCGGCGGCTCCCGGTGGGCATGGTGCCGGGGAGGGAGAGACCCGGCGAGAGGGTGGGCAGCCGGGAGCTGCGGCGGGCACACAGACAGCGCAGCGATGGAGGCGGGCGGGCACGGACCGAGGCTGCGCTGCCACGATGCAGGGGGACAAGAGGGGACACAGACACATGGCGGCAGGGATGGGGCAGCCCTGGGTGGCTCCTGCGGTGCAGACGGACCCAAGAGGGAGGGGATGCGCACACAGACAGGCACCCCACGATGCGCCCCACGCTCCCACCCGCCGCGGCTCCTGCCTGAGCCGAAACACGGTGATAAACCGACAGACGGACCGACTGGCGCAGCGCTGCCGGGACACACACACACAGAGACACAGACACATCACAGCGGGCAGCACGCCGCCGGCACGGCCCCCGGCGTCACGGCGGGCTCAGCGGGCAAAGCCACAACGCATGCCACGAGACACCCACCGACACACCAAGCACACGCAGACACACGCCGATGGAGACGCTGCGGGGGGACCTGGGGACGATGGGGACGGAGGCACACGCAGCGGCACGGGGCGGCCGCCCTCTCGCACACCCACACATACGCGGCTCGCCCGCCCCGGCGGGACGGCACCCAGGGAGGACCGGAGAGCCTGAGGAAGCTGGGGAGGCAAAGTCAGGTTAAAAACAGAGCAAAAATGAAGGCGGAGGAGCCGGTGGTGGGGCCCGCTGGGCGAGGAGGCACCAGGGGAGCCGTGGATGCCGGGGTGGTGGGACGCACCGGCGGAGGTCGCGGACAGCGAGAGAGAGAGAGCGGGAAAGAGCAAGAGAGAGGAGGAGGAGCATCATCCACCGCCGGCCTGCCGGGAGGGAAAGGGGAGAGAGGAGCGGGATGGATGGACGGACGGAGAGCGGTTAGTCGCCAGGACAGGAGACACGCCGAGGTGCTGGGCTGGAGCCACCGGGGACGGGCTGGAAGGAAGAAGCTGAGAAACGGGGACGGAGGAGACGTTTTGAGGCAGAAGAGCGGGCGGCCGGCAGCGCCGGGTGGGCAGGCGAGAGCGGAGGGTGCCGGAGCTCATCCCTTCCACCGGCCAAACCCACCGCGTCCCGTGGGGCCCGAGGGAACGGGGAGCGGGAGGGAGATGGAGGCGGGGAGGCCATGCGTGCGCCGGGATGGGTCTTTCGGACCAGCGAGCTGGCGGGAAGCGGGGAGCGGGGTCTTGCTGCGGCACAGCCACCCACCCCCCGTGGCCGGCACCTAGCGTCCCCCGTCCCATCGCCCGGCACGGGACAGCCGGCACGGTACGGCACGGCGACCGGTGCTCCCGGCGGGGACCGGCTGCGCAGCGCGACGCTGGGGAGGGAAGTGCTAAAAGATGGAGCGAAACCAAGCCGAGCAGGGTAAAAATAGCCGGTGGGCGAGAACGGTGCCAGTTCATTAACACGCCGAGCATGCAGGGAGGCAGCGCCCGCTGGCTTCACACCTCCTCCCTGCTCCGGAGGGGATTAACACCCCTCTCCCGGCAGCGTGGGGCCCCTCTGCTCCTGCCAGCCCTCGCCGACGGCCGCGGCTGAGTGCTGGCTGGGCTCTGGTGCCGGTGCCAGATGCGGTGCTGAGCCTTCGGCACCCCGGGAAGGCAGGGAGCAGCCGGAGGCGAGGGGCTGTGCCGCGCTGCCGCGCAGCTTGCTTGGAAGAGAAAGGGAGGGGAGGGGGTAATGCGTATGTCCCCCCCTCCGCCAGCTTGTGGCGTTTGCTCTGCCCCTCCCCGGTCAGCCTTGGGGTTCGAGCAAGGGCTGAGGACATGCCACCGCAGGGATGTCCCCGCGTCCCCGGGGGAGCTGCCGGGCTGCAAACGTCCCCGCCGGGCTGGAGGTCGCGGCAGCGTGGTGCGCGAGACACGCGTTGGGACGGGACGAGGCTCAGCTGCCGATGCGGCATCACCGGGTTGTCCCGTTCCCCCCCCCCAACCTTGTCCTGCCCTGCACCCCGTTCTCCTCCCGGCACAGGGGTTCTCCCTTGCCCTGCGCCCCGCTCCCGAGCGTGTGCCCCCCCCCAGCATGCAGCCAGGGCAGGGGGGGCTGGTGGCCGGGGGATGGCAGGAGGGAGAGGGCAGGGAGGGAGGAGGAAGGGATGGGGGTCCTCTCGGTGCCGCCGCTCCGGAGGCAGAACCGCGGGTGCCGGCAGGGGAGAGCCGCAGATGTCACCGTGCCCGCTGGGCCACCCTGTGCCGCTCCAACCTTCGCGCTCCACGAGGCCAGCCTCCTCCTCCTCCTCCTCCTCCTCCTCCTCCACCCTGGGTGAGGCCCTCGTCTCCTCCTCCTGCGGGACTGCCCTCGTCCTCGCTCATACCTCTTGTCCCCCTGAGCGTTCGGCTGGTTCGGCTGCGTCCCAGCGGGTTGCAGGTCGGGGATATTGGCAAAGTCATCTTGCTCTGAGAGTCCCAAAACCAGGGATAACACCACCATCCGGCCTTCCCTGCCCAGGCGGCCCCGCAGGCGGCGGGAAAGAGAGAAAGAGAGAAAGGAGAACACAGCATCAGGCAGGGAACCGGCAGGAGCGGCGGCACCCCGCGGTCCCCCCGACGGCGAGGGGGGGACCCCGGCTCTGCCCGCCGACCCCTGCGCGGGAGACGATGTCCGGGATGGGCGCAGAGGGCTGTGGGGAGAAAGGCGTCAGCTCCGGCGAGCCCGGCACGCGTGGGTACCACCGCCACCCCTCTCCCCCGCGGGTCCGGACAGGGAGGATGCCGAGGTCCTGCCGAGGGGGGAGAAGGTGGCCGGAGGGGCTGGGGACGAGGGACGGTGAGAAGGGAGTGAGGTCCCAGCATCCTTCCCTGGAGGAGGAGATGGCGGTGCCACGGCCGAGGCTCTTTGCCCCCTTTCCGGCGCTGCCGGCGCAGCCTTCCCGGGGGCCCGTAACCGCATTTATGCCACGGTGCCGGGGAGGCGGGCGGGAGGGTAAACAGAGTAAAGAGCAAAAGCAAAGTTAATGGCTTTGGAAAGCGGCGGTGGTAAATGGCAGCGGCTCCTCCGCGGGCAAACGGTGCACCGGCTCGGCACGTCCTGGCTCTGCGGCTGCTCCCCTCCCTCGCCAATTAAGGCTGGAACCAGCGCCGATGCTGGGTAAACAGGGAGGAACGTGACCCTCGGGATGGCTAATGAGCCACATCTCAACATCGGGAAGCCGGCAAATGGAGCCGGCGAGCAAGCTCTCGGTGAGATAAGGCAGAGATGGCACGGTGCTGGGCAGGCAGAGCCGAGAGGGGCACCGACCAGCTGGTGGTGAGGAGGGGGGGGTCACGGCCGGTGCCGGCGCTGGGAGGGGACCCCGCGGTGCCCCTGCCTGCCTGGAGGAAGGCTCAACCCTCTCTCCAGGGCTGCCTGCGCAGGCAGGAGCGGGGTGGGCAGCCAAACTTGTGTCTCTCATGGACTTTCCCCCCTAACTCTGATGCAGAAGGTGCTGCGCTGACTCACACAAGGGCAGGATCAGGCCTGTCCCCCTCCCAACCCCGAGCACTACCAGCCTGTGGGAAGCACAGCCAGGACCCGAGCATCCCCTCTCCCTGGGTGCTGGGGGGCAAACAGAGGCCAGGAGGGAGCGGGATGACCCCGAGGAGGATGGAGGAGCAGGCAGGGGGGGACTGGCTCCGTAGAGGAGTGACAATATGTCATGTGCCGAGATACGGTGGCAGCACAGGACTCAGATTAGTCCTCGGCTTTTTGAGGTTTGAAAGCCAGCGCTGATACGGGAGATAGGGTTAAGCCAGATTAAAGATCACACGGCTCCGGCAGCTCCGAGCAGGCTGCCTCTGCGGCTCCCAGCCTGGGCGAAGGCAGCCTGGCAGGCTGCGATATCGGGGCAGAACAGACGGTCACCCCTGCATGGGGGCCACCGCTGGCATGGCTGTCCCCCCCCACCTCCCCGGGGCAATGTCACTCTCTGGGGACCACAGCGGTGGCTGTCCCACGGGCTGGAACATCCCTGAACTCCAAAGGGGATCTGAGCACCCACACCGGCCGGTGATGCGGCGGGTGATCCGCAGCAAAGCCACGGGGAAAAACAAGTTGAGGGGAGCACGCGAGACCCTTCCCTGAGCCCCCGGGGTTGGGTGAGCTGCCCCTGTCCCCCAGGATGGGGCCAGAGGGGACCCGGCTTTTCCCAATGGTCATGGGCAGCATTTCCCCAAGGTGGTGCCAGCTGAGCAGCCGCGCTGGGCTAAGTAAAGTAGAGAGCAGAGGAGAGAGCCATGGAGAGAGCAAAGGAGCGAGCCATGGAGAGAGCAAAGGAGCGAGCAAAGGAGAGAGCAAAGGAGCGAGCCATGGAGAGAGCAAAGGAGAGAGCAAAGGAGAGAGCCATGGAGAGAGCAAAGGAGAGAGCAAAGGAGAGAGCAGAGGAGAGAGCAGAGGAGAAAGCAGAGGAGAGAGCGATGGAGAGAGCGATGGAGAGAGCGATGGAGAGCGCACACTTACAGGAAGGACTTCATGTCCAAGCCGCGGTTGCGGATTTGCCCCACCATGTGGTCCCAGCTGCCGGGATTGGAGCGGCTCCGGCCGCCAGCCGTCCGATGCTTGGAGCCGGCAGCGATGCCCTGGCGCGCCTGGCCGCCGCGGGAGCCCCGGGGGTTGCCGGCGCCGGCGGAGGAGCCGCTGTGGGCCTGGAGGTGGCCCAGGCTCTGGCTGGTGGTGGGCTGGCTGTGGTTGGCGCGTTGGTGCTGGCTGAGGGGCTGCTGCAGACTTTGCTGGCGCATGAGCGTGCGGGGCCTCTGGCATTTGGGGTCGCCTGCTGAGGTGGGGATATACTCAAGGGTAGTGGCTGTGGACAAGGTGGAGTCCTCGAAACTTAGGGAGAGGAAGGGCAGAGGAGAGGAGAGAAAGGAGAAGAAGGTGAAGGGGCAAAATTGGAGGAAGGAAAAGAAGAGAGTTAGAGAGAAGATGCCCCAGCGCAGGGAGCGCTCCGGCAGGGGCCAGCGGATGCAGCGACCGGTTCCTCTGCCTCTCGCCCGCGGCTCGGCCTCGCCGGCAGCGCGGGGCTCTCGTGCTGCCGCCATCTCGCCCGTCCTGCTTCCCGGGTCCCCTCCCGGGCTGCCGGGGGGGCTCGGCCGCGGCACGGTGGCACCCGGCTGGCTGGGTGCCCTCCCGCTCCCGCGGCTGCCGTGCAGCCGGCGCCTTCCCAGCACGCCGGCCGACCTCGTCTGCGAGCTAATTAGGCTGCTGCGTGAAGGCGAATCCCGCGGCGCCCGCTCACGTGCTGCCGGCCAGCCCGCCCCGTCCCCGTCCCTCCCAGCCCAGCACCCAGCCGCCAGCACCGCCGGGTCTCAGCATCCCTCGCCTCGTGGGACCACGCCGGCTGGGGGCTCCCACGGCGACGGAGGGGCCGAGCCCACCGTGGCCGTGGTGTGCCAGCGAGCCGGGTGTCCCCAGGGCCAAGGCAGGCTGCCAGCGGAGAGGGACCCCACTGGGGTGGGAGTCCGGCCGTGCTCCCAGCCCCCCGCCCCCATCGTGGGATGGGAGGCGATGGGGACATGGCCCCGGCGGGACTGGGAGCGTGGAGAAGCCCAGCCCTGGGCAGACGGGCTTCGTCTGGCCAGCGGAGAGGGAAGAGCAGGCAAGGGGCCGGCGGGGGAAGCAGTGATGCCCGTCGCTGGCCATGCAGCCGGCCCCGCGCCGGGGCGGCAGCACATGCGTGGCATGGCCCATGCAGCCGGGCAGGAGCCCCGGTCATGGCGCCGATGCCCATGGCAGCCTGCAAAGCTGGTGGCTGCGAGACCAGGGGGTCAAGCCAGCCAGGCGAAAACCCTCAGGGGTCCTCGATGCATGAGGGCAGGGACCCCCCTGGGACCACCGCCCCGCCTGGCACCGGGAATTGCCTTCAGCAGCGGCCGATGACCTTACCCCGGTCCCGGCGCTGCCTGAGGCCGGCCGGGGTGCCGGCTGAAACCGTGTGGCGAAGCTGTGCCGTCGTGCATTGCCAGCAGCGGGGGGACAGAGAGGGAGGGGGGAAGGATAAATAGCTTTAAAAAAAAAAAAAAAGAAAAAAAAGAGGTGAAGAAAGAGTGAAAGGTGAGAGAAAGAGAGAGAAGAGGGAGGGAAGTTGAGAGGAGCAGAGAGCTGAGACGGATCTGGCCCCACGGCCGGGCCAGTGCCGGAGGCACATGGGGCACTGCCCGGGCGCTGCGCCACCCCCCCCGCGCCTGCCGCCGACCTCCTTTCGTTTTCCTATCAAATCCTAAATTAGTTCAATTTACAACCTCTCAGTCACAGGAAACTAAATCTGGCTCCTCTCGGCCCGGCGCCAGCTGGAGGCGCGAGCTCCTGCCAGCACCGTGCCAGGCGGCAGCACGCCCTGCCCGCACACCCTGCCCGCACACCCTGCCCGCGCCTGTGTCCCCCCCCCAGTACCAGGGGAGGGGTACAGCAGCCGGACCCCCAGCGTGGTCCCCCATGAACACCCCCAAACCCGAAGGCTCTGCGCAAAAGAGATGCCGAAAGGCAGGATGCTTCACGGCACCTTCCACATCCCCTTAACTCTGCCCTCGCCGCCTGCGCCAGCCCAGCGCTTTGTGGCGGCCGTCCATCCGTCATCTGTCTGTCCGGCTTCCCAGCCCCTCGGGGCTTTGGAGCTACCAGCCGGGACAGCAGAGCCCATCGCCGCACCGGCGCTGCCCCAGCCGATGCGGCACGGTTGCCGGCACAGCCCGGCTGTGAGTCAGCGGGAGCGGAGGTGCCGAGCGGCGCACGGGCACGCGTCCACGGCTCTCGGCACGGCAGCTGCGCGATGCCTTTTCTTAGCCGGCCTTCGCACATCCCGCCGGAGGAGCCCGGGCTCACAGCGGGTTTCGCTTCTCCGCCGAGACGGAGCATGGCTGAAGGCTGCACAGCTACCCCTCTTCCTCGCCTCTCCCTCTTGCCTCCCCGCAGCCGAGACGGAGCACACCAACATCACGCCAAATGGGCGGCCGTGGCTCTGAACACTGGGGACACCAATCTTTGTGGCTCCAGGAGGCATCTGGGATTTGTCCAAGGCGGCAGGACTGGCCTTTTGCTTTTGGAAAGGTTTTCCCCCCACCGACAAGGCTGGAAGAAGCAGCTGGGACGAGGCATGCCAGCCCTGGGGAAGCACCTTTGCCATCACCACCGACCTCTCTGCGGGTACCGGGGCCGCCGCCGGGACCTGCCGGCTGCTCTGCCGGCAGCACAGCACTTGGGCTGCCACGCAATCAGAGGCTGCTGTGTCCCGGCGCAGGGAACCGGAGCAGAGACCAGAAACACAGGACGGAGCCCACCACCAGATAAATCACCGCCATCTCCCCCGGCAGAGCTACGGTCACTGCCAGCAGCAGAGGGACTCACCAAGACCCCCGCCCAGCCTGCCTGGGCCACGAGCCCTGCAGAATGTGCCAAAGCTCTGGTTTTCCCCTAAATCTGATAAACCCCCGACTTTCCCCAACTCTCCCCCGGCATCGGGTGGTGGAACCGCAAGCGAGGTGTCAGCGCCGGGTCTCATGGCTGTGCCGTGGGTCAGCACCGTGGAGGGAAGAGGCTGGCGATGCCACGCACCATCCCTAATGGCTGCATCCCAGCGATGGGGACGTGGGAGAGCAGCTCCTGCCATCGGGCCATCACTAAGATGGTGTTCCCTGCCCCGGGGACCCTCACCGGCGATGCCGAGCTGCTTCCCACCGGCATCGGGCAAAGCCACGGTGCTGGAAATGTGCCGGGGACAGCACCCGAAGGTGCTCCTCCTGCCCGGCTGGGGCTTGAGCCCCGCAGCCCCCTCCTCCGCTCCCCCCGAGCCGAAACGCTGCCAAAACACCGCCGGGGGGGCCTGGGCAGCTCCTCGCCTCCCTCGGCGCGGTGGGCTGGGGGAATCTCTCGGTGGCCCCCGTCCGAGCGCGGCCCGCAAAGGGGAGCGGGTGCCCGGGCACGCCGGCAGTGGCAGGGGTCCGTGCCGGGGTGCCGTGCCGGCCCGTGCGTGCTCACTCACTTGGACAGGCTGAGCTTCCCTGCGGCCAAGTGGCTCTGCACCGTGTGCCAGCGGCCTCGCGCCGCCTTCCCCGTGCCGGGCTCGCTGTGGGCAGAGACGCTGCTCCTCATGCCGTCCTCGCCGAGCCGCTGCTTCTCCCCGGGGCGGCCATCGCGCTCCCCCGCCAACCCCGCGGCGGCCGATGCCGTCAGCTTGGCCCCTGATAACAGAGAGCCACTGGGCCGGGTCGGCGGCCGGACCCCCCCAAGACAGACACGAAGGGAGCCGGACGGACAGACGGACGGACGGACGTGGAAGGAGGGGGAGCCGTTTTGAGAGGGGTTGGGGGGTACGAGGGGAGGGGGGAGAGAGCCAGAGGGGGACAGACGGACAAGAGACGGACAGACAGACAGAGAGAGAGAGAGAGACATCAGCACTGCAAAAGAAAAGGGGACCTGGCCGGGGTGGGAAAGGGGGGTGTGCACGGGGGGGCCTCGGCAAAACCGTCCAAAAT